CCCCCCGCCAAAAAAACCCTCCAAAAAACAAAAACAAAACCAACAACAACAACCCAAAACAAAAACAAACCCACACACATATACATTTTTTTAATGCATCTGGAATAGTACAAACGAGCATTATCTTTGCAGTACAAAACACAAGAGTATATTGAGCTCTAGACAGATTTGAGGCAGCAAGTAAATTCTCTCAAAAGGGGTGTAAAACTATATTATATTATGTTCAAATATTGTCTGGCAGTAAAGATCTTCAATGATATTGTCTGGCAGTAAAGATCTTCAATGATATTGTCTGGCAGTAAAGATCTTCAATGATATTGTCTGGCAGTAAAGATCTTCAATTATATCATCTGGCAGTAAATCTTACAAGACCTCTCGACAATACCATCGTTATAAGTATTGTAGACATGTAAGTATGAGCCTCTTACTTTTGGGATGTTACGTCTAGTGAACGTGATATTGGGTTGTTGGTAGTTGTTTTTTCGTCCTTGTGAGTTTTTATTTCTAAAAAAAACAAAATATCCCCTGACTCCACTTACGAGGAACAAAGACCATTTTCTTCCGTAGACATGCACTTACCTATTTTGATAGTGAAACATCTTGGGGAACCAGACTTTCTGAAAAGAGAATAGGGGAAAAGGGAAAAAAGAGTTAAACAAGGAGGAAAAGAAAACAAAAAGGCAAGGACAACATTGTGACTCACTACTAAAAAACGATTCATTTTGCATAACAATTACGGTAACATGATAATATCTTACGATAACCACGGCAAACTGTAGAGTGGAGAAAATGATAAACACTGAGAGGCATTGTCCTATTTAACGGGCAGACACAGAGGAGTCGCTTTCACCCCCACCATCCCGAAGGTGAGAGGTGGCAAAGATAGCACATAACAAGATGGTCCACTCAGCCAAAAGGTGTCCGCCGGAAGTCCGCTCTTTGCTTCAGATGGTGCTGAAGTCAGTTTTGAAGCTCTCTTTTTTTCTCCAGAAGAAGAATAGAAATAGCACCTCGTTGCGTGCGCAGATCGACTGCTGTTCATCAGCAGTTCGGGTTCGTCCAGTGCGGAGTTTTAGGGTAAAAATTTTTTTTAATGACCTCTCGCCTCTCATTCTAAAGTCAAATTAAACGAAGAAAACAGTCACCTCGTTTTTTTTGGTCAGTATAACCATTTTAAAAAACCGTTCTTCCGAAATTTGAATTCTTATTTACTCAAAAACTTGTTAGTTTCACATTGACTTTTTTCACACAAGTAGGGTAACTCTGTTCGCAAAGGGTGCGCATTTGCGAAGAGGGCGCCTCCGAATTTTGAGGACACTTTTTCAATTGGCTCAAAGAGAGGAGTGGACCATCTTGTTATGTATGATCGTTGGAGGAGGGTACAGTGTCGCGGTAACTATTAAGTCGTTTTTAGTGGGATTTTAGTGCAACACTAAGTTAGCTAACCCCAAATACTTTTGGTGCGCGGTTGGTGATGGTGCGGTTAGAGTGAGCGGCCCTTGCTCTGCCTCGTGCAACTGTAGAACGCATAAATTATATTTCAGCAATGGCAGACAGGTGACAGTTTGGTGCTGGTGAGGGGAAGGTGAGGTGAAAGCGACTCCACCAACGAGAGTTCCCTGCTGGAGATAATCTTTGACTCCACCGTGTCCGCACGTTCAGACCAGAGACCGTAATTTTATCATCATTGGTTTCGACTTAGCTTAGCTCAGTTGTCTTAAAATAGAACAGTATTAAACGTGCAACAGGCCAATTTCTCCGGACACACAACGCAGAAAGAAGCATTGGAGAATATTGTAACAACAGGCAAGTTAGATGGAGAGACAGACAGGGGCAGACAGAGGGAAAAGATGCTGGACAAGATGACAACATGGCTAGGAGCAGCAAGAACAACAGACACCATTGCTGCAACGCAAGACAGACTGAAATGGAGGTCCATGATCGCCCACGCCAGTCGGCAAGGCGCCGGATTATGATTAGTAAACGTGCGAACACAGTGGAGTCGCTTCCACCTCACTTTCATTGTCATTGCTATTGTCAAATGAATCGTAACCATTAAGCTGGTATCTAACTCATGTCAAAGGAGGTATACAATATTTATAATTTTTGAAAAAGAAAAAAACAAAACAAGGTCGCTTTTAACTAGACTACTCACCCTTTTTCATCCTCCAGTAAGCTGGTATCTAACTTATGTCAAAAGAGGTATATGTCAAAAGAGGTATGCGTCAAAGGAGGTATAAAACATTCATAATTTTCGAAAAAGAAAAAAAAAAACAAGGTCGCCCCTAACTAGACTGAGCACTCATATGACCTTATGCAGTTGCGAGCGCAGTAAAACCCCATACTAAACTTTTTTTTAAAACCCCAAAAAACCCAACCAACTAGACTGCTCACCCTTTTTCATCCTCCGGGATGGCGCAGACGAGATGTTCCCCGACGTCCGAGGCGCCCGTAGACCACGTGAGGTCCTTGGTGAACGTGTTGACCTGTCCCACTTCCTGTCGTAGCGCCGACTGCTGGAGGCCCACGGGGCCCAGAACCTGGATCTTGGCGATCCTGGGGAGGAGTCAGAGACCACTGTTTATTGTGACCATGTGCTTCTCTTTACTCACACAAACAAACAAATAACAAGCCGTGTTGTAATAATAATAATAATAATAATAATAATAATAATAATAATAATAATAATAATAATAATAATAATAATAATAATAGTTATGAAAATGATAATAATGATAATAATAATAATATTAATAATAATAATAACAATAACAATAATAATCATCATCTCATCATCATAGTAATAAAAATAATTTAAAAATAAAAATAAATAAATGATAATAATATATGTAATATAACAATAATAATGCTGCTGCTGCTGCTGCTGCCGCTGCTGCTGCTGCTGCTGCTGCTGCTGCTGCTGCTGCTGCTGCTGCTGCTGCTGCTGAAGATGATAATAATAATAATAATAATAATAATACACAGCATTTGTATAGCGCATATCCCCGCTCGACAGTAAGCTCTTTATCAAGCGCTTTACTCTATAATATGGCCGTTTTTAAGAACAAGCGGACTAACCCAGATTTCGGGGGTTTCCAGAAATCTTAACCTACACCAAAAGTGAGCATGGCCCTACCTATAGGAGAAGCTTGGTTTCTTTGATGTGTATATTTGTTTGGTTATAGAGAAACTCTCCTTGTCTTTTAAAGAAACTGAACAGGGGTCCAAAAACTTTACCTTCGATTTTCTCAAACCAGCATTTTTCGGGATAGGCCCCTTGTGCTCACAAGCGAACATGTCATTACCCCAGCAGACCAAAGAACACTCAGAAACATTCTCAGCTTCCCGGGAAGCCCACAGTGCAAGCAGCTGTGTAAAAACGCCCATATCCGATATGACGCGGTGCCAAAGAGGTTCTATAAGTAAGCTCACTAGAATCCGCGGCATTGGGCGCACGTCTGCCCTCACCGGCATGGTCGCCCAGCGTCCCAGTGTGGGCACACGCAGCCCCTGTTTGCTTACGTGAGTAACGTTACTGCTATGGCCTCTTTACGTTGTACAGTAAATAAAAAATCTGGAAGTGGGTGGTTGGCGGGTGCTCTGGTGTGGTTTGCTACTTCTTTCTTATCAAACATCTATCGTCCTTTTCTCCCCTTCTTCTTTTTTATGTTTGTTACTCTCTTGTAACACCTCTAATCCTCTGGCGCTCAAATGACCTTATGCAGTTGCGAGTGCCGTAAAACTTTTGCTTACTAAAACTAAACTTAAAGAAGCCGAAATACTGACTTGACGTTCGTGGCTTTTCCGTTGTCAGCGGTGAGAGGCAGGTTGAGGGTGTCTCCCTCTTCTACCATCACCACGTCCCTCTCCTGGGGCGTGGGACTCACAAACCGAGGAACCCAGTCGCACGGCTCGGGGTACGGTGGTGTCTTGATCAGAAACTGAAATAGAAATAGCACGCAGCTATAGCATGGAAATAGCGTGCAAATCTTTGTAACAACCGTTTAGTTTTAGAAAGAGTTTTACGGTACTGAAAAACAATAAGGTCAAATAAGTGCCGAAGAATCGATGTTTTGCAAGAGAGTAACATACACAAAAAAGAAGGAAGAGAGATAAGAAGGACAGATGTTTGATAAGCAAGAAGGAGCAAACCACACCAGAGCACCCGCCAACCACCCACTACCAGCCGTATGTCTCAAATGAAACCATCTCAACAGTGGAGAAAGGAAGTCGTCCCTCACGGCTCCGTCAGTCTATGGCGTGTACACTGAAATGATTAAAACGTGAGAGCCAAGTTCCTAGAAACCACCGAAAAGCTATTTGTTACGCTCTTGTTATAGTGAGGTTTTACGGCGCTCGTAACTGCATAATAAGGTCATATGAGCGCCACGGGGTGGATGTCAAAAGAGAAGTCCACACGGGGAATCAGGCTTACTCTACTCCACTCTCTAGCCTCACCAGCACAAAGTCTCCTCCGACTATCAAGGCACCCTGGAAATAGCAGTTCACAAGAGAGTGACAAATATACAAAAGAAGGAGAGGGAAAAAATGACGATAGTAAGGATGAGGAAAGAAAAGGCAGCAGTTCCCCCTATGTTGTTCCGTCACAGTATGAGCATGACATTGATAAATCAGCCCATTTACAATTCTACTGTGTATAAGAACATGTTAATATCCGCCCTTTGGGAATGGCTTAAAAACAACTTCAGTCAGTAGCATTGCCCTGGTTGGGGGACGGG